AAATAAACGTTGAAAAAAAAAAATTAAAAAAAAAAAATTTTAAAGGCAAGTATAGGGCAATGTAGTAATATCTATCAAAATAAAAATTTACATAACCTTTGACCTAAGAATTCCCCCTTGAATGGTATAAACACTGAAGATAAACAGAAGGATGTATCTATGAGGAAAAGAAAAATAAAATAAATATCTTTCAATATGGGAATGCCTGAATAAACCCCAGGTATGATCACACTGTGGAATACTATGCAGCTGTCAAAAAGAACGAAGCAGAATTGTATTTTCCTGACACGGGAGGAGTTCTAATATATTTCATCATAATGTTTTTAAAAAGCAAGTTGCAGGAGGTGCCTGAGAGGCTCAGTCAGTTGGGCGTCCAACTTTGGCTCAGGTCAGGATTTCACCATTCACAAGTCCGGGACGTGCGGTGGGCTCTGTGCTCACAGCTTGGAGCCTGGAGCCTATTTCAGACTCTCGGTCTCCCTAGCTCTCTGCCCCTCCCCCCCCTCAAAAATAAACATTAAAAAACAAAAAGCAAGCGGCAAAACTATGCACAGAGTCTGGTCCCATTTAGGTTAAAAAATGTCTCAGGTGATCTTTGTGTCTAAGTTTCACTGTATGTGTGTGCTTGCCTCTGTGTGAAAAGGCAATGTGGAAGGACCACCCCCCCAAGCCACTGACCGGGACCCCTTTAGGATGGAAAGTGGGACCTCAAGAAGATCCCAGGGGAGCACCCACACTTGTCCAGATATTTTATTGCTCTTTAGCAGTGAGAAAGCAGAAACTACTAGGTTTTTTACAGGCAGAGATGGTTGTGTGAGTCCCTTCTCTGTGCACAATTCTCTGATTACACAGGATGCAAGTGCACTGAGAACACTTTGGACCCAAAAAAGGACAGAACACAGCTCAGTGGCAGAAGCAGTGTGTTCCCATGGCCTCTGTGACCAGGACACAAAGAACAATCAGCTATTCTTGAGACCACAGGTAAGAGTATTAGCAGCAAAGGTGACCACACAGAGGACTTTAAGAGCTGAATCCTGATAAACAACAGAGCAGGATAAACCCTGGAGCAGGGGCCACCCAGAGTGTTCTATGACAGGGCACGGGAGGGGGGGCAAGAGAAAGAAGTCGTGCTACCTTGCATGAGCACCTCCATGGCCGTCCGCGGCTTGGACAGCCGTCTCTCCTCCAATTCGCTGTCAGATTCGTCTTCCTCCTGGATGTCAACGTCCGAGTCGTCATGACCTGGGAGCAACACAAGTAGGCAAAACAAAAGGGCGGCTCCATCATTACCTCTGAAACAGCTTGCATCCAAAAGGCTCTTGTGCAAAACCATTTGCACTTCTCAGCCTTCCTTCTGCTGCATTAGATTTTATGAGACTCTTGGGATTGGCCTGTAGATACTTAGAGGGGTTAATGCAAACAAGGATATACTGGGTTAGTTTTTTTAAACAATTTTCCAAAGCAAGACAAAACTGGGTCAGAATACTATTCTGGTAGGTGAACTACAATTGGAATCACCAGCTGTCAAGGTATAGCTGGAAGTTCTTGGTTAATTGGGGGCAAAGTCCATTCTCTGTTCACGATTAGGTGGCGTTACCACGACTCGAGCTCTTTGTGGGTAACAGAGATGAGGAGACAGAGCCCACTGAAAAGGTGAGGGATTGCACCAAAACAGGCCTGCAGGCGACAAGGAGAGCAGGCCAGGAAAGGCTGGCCTGAGAAAGACGGTGACCTAGTAAGTGGCTGTAAGAACTCGTGCTCACGACCTCCTTTCCTGGAGAAAATTCCCTTACAGAGATACACAAAGAGAGGGCGTTCTCACATTGTGAGATGTGCGACAGCCTTACACATTAATTTCTTACACGTTAATTTCTTAAATACTCTTCCAGAGTCTTGTGTGGGTTAGACACTTCCTAATGGGAACTTACAGGAGGATAGTTTCCACAGTGGAGAGAAAAAGCTTTCACTGCCCAGCTGACTCCCTGTGACTGGGGAGAGACACTGGTTTTGGAAGGAAAGAACAGGAGGAGTTTGCAGTCGCCCTGCTGACCAGTGAGTCAGAGGTCAGTTTGGAAGTACAGTAATTGTTCGTCTACGGAAAGGCTTTCCTCAGCCCCTGCTCTAAGTGGGTGAGTGGGTGGCTGCGTCTGCCTGGGCACCAAGGGAAAGTTCTCTGCTTTCTTCGCCGTGGAGAGAAGAGCTGTGCTCTCCAGCATGGAGGGGTAAGCTGGGAACCAGGGATGTATTAGTAATAGATAGCATCCTGCAAGGACTTCAACACAATCTGTCTGAAAACCGCCACCGTACAAAAAGCCTATACAGAGAATATAATTAAATACTACCACAAATGAATCACTACAAAACGCAATTACTATTCATCTGAGTTCACTTTTTATGGACATTTTATTATGACATTGTATCATTACCCCTTGCAATATAAATCAAATGATATCATGAATTTTAAAATAATAATAATACATGTTTCTCAGGCTCAATAGGATTTCTTCTGACAAGTTCAAGCCAATACACTAAATTAATGCAGGCGGACATGGAAATCACCCAGTTATCAGTGACACGTTCAAGTTAGGATGGCAGACAAGAGTGCCCATAAAATTCAAAGAGGAAAGAACAGTCTTTCCAACAAATGGTGCTGGGACAACCAGAGAGCCACATGCACAACAATGAGTTGGACTCCTACCTCACACCATATTCAAAGACTAATTCAAAATGGATAACAGTTAAAACTGTAAAAGTCTTCCAAGAAAATATAGGGATAAATCCTGGTGACCTTAAATTAGGCAGTGGTTTCTGAGATATGACACAAAAATGCAAACAACAGAAGAAAAATTAACAGTGTGGACTTCATTAAAAGTTTGTGCAGCAAAAGCCAGCACTAATGAAGTGAAAAGACGGCCCAGAGAATGAGAGAAGAATATCTGCAAATCACAATGTATCCAAAATACCATTTCAACAGGTAAACAAAGTAAAGTATGAGTAATGAGTAATTTAACTTTTCATTCATACTAAGTCTTCAAAATATTTTCCACCAACGGCACTCCTCAATTTGGATGAGCCACACTCGAAGTGCTCAAGAGTCACACATGGCTTGTGGCTACGAACTGGATGTCACCATTCTGGCCTCGGCTCCCTGAGCGCCTTATCTGTCACCGTGCCCCCAGTGCTGGTACAAGGCCTGACACACAGTAGGCATGCAACAAGTAAGTGTTGAACGCAAGAACATTTGCTCTCCACTATACCATAAAAACTAAACCCCAGCAAGGTTACTAAAGTGCTTTCTAGAAATTTGTGGGTCATTTTATGAAATCAGAGGACTCTACATTCCTTACACTCCAGGGCTGAATCCTGTAGAGAGCACAGTTATAAATTTACCACGAACAGTGAGGTTTAAAAGGACGGTGGGAAGATGAGGGCTGTCCTTACTGTGACCACAGGGCATGTGAACAAAGTACTTGGCCTTTTTCGTCTCTGAGGTCCCCAGGGCAAGGACCTGTCTCTAATCACTCAGACTTGCTCTCTCTTACTCCAGGCCCTTACTCCAAACCCACAAAGCCAATTTGGTGACATCACCTCCTGCTTAACAGAGAAGACAGGAGCCATCAGATGGGAGCCCTTCAGCACACGACCCATCTTCCAGCCTGAGCTTGAGTCCTGCACGCCCACACGTTTCCTCACTCGGCAAAACTCATCCTCTCACTGAGCTCTGGTTCTCACCCTTTCTTACAGACTCCCAGGACTTTCCTCATCCGGTACCTCCTTCCTCTCCAAGTTACACTTTTCAGCCTTTGCGTAAATAGCATCTCCCAAGGAGGCCTACGTTGACCCCCAATTTAAAACACAATTCCAGGGCATCTGGGGGGCTCAGTCAGTTGAGCGTGCAATTCTTGATTTCGGCTCAGGTCATGATACCACAGTTTGTGAGTTTGAGCCCCGCATCGGGCTCTGTGCTAATAGTGGGCAGTCTGCTTGGGATTCTCTCTCTCCCTCTCTCTCTCTGCCCCCACCCCACTCATGCTCTCTCTCTCAAAAAAAAAAAAAAAAAAAAAAAAAAAAAAAAAAGAACTTAAAAAGAGTAAACGCGGGCTGCCTGGGTAGCTCGGTCAAAGTGTCCGACTTTGGCTCAGGTCACTTTGGCTCACGGCTCATGAGTTCAAGCCCCACATCGGGCTCTGTGCTGACAGCTCAGAGCCTAGAGCCTGCTTCAGATTCTGTGTCTCCCTCTCTCTGCCCATCCCCCACTCGCACACTGCCCCCTTGTCTCTCAAATATAAATATTTAAAAATTTAAAAAAAAAGGTAAACACAATTCCACACACCCTCACCATCTCCCTCTCTGCTCTACTTTACCCCGAAAGGCATTTTTCACTTTCCATGCACAGTTTGCTCATTGTCTGTCTCCTCTCACTGGCAAGCAGCTTGGTTAAAGCAATGATTGCTTTTTTTGTTTTTCTAAATTTTTTTTAATGTTTTTATTTATTTTTGAGAACGAGAGAGAGTGTGCACAAGCGGGAGAGGGGCAGAGAGACAGGGAGACATAGAATCAGAAGCAGGCTCCGAGCTGTCAGCCCAGAGCCTGACACAGGGCTTGAACTCCTGAACTGGGACATCATGCCCTGAGCCGAAGTCGGACGCTTAACCGACTAAGCCACCGAGGTCCCCAGAATCCCTGTCTCTTGTCCACTAAGGAACCCTTCTTCGCACCCAGAATACTCAACAATGGTTTACTGCACCGAATCAGCTGTCTGCACGGTGGTGTAAACAAGATGAGCTCTTTCAGCTCCTGGATTTTGCTCATTCTTACCCCTAATTTGCGTCCGTGTCCTATTTGGCTTTTCTGTTCAGAGAAGTCTTTCAGAAAGTGTCCTTTTATCTAACTCCCCGCTGATCCCAACTCTCTGGCCAATGTTCCCGCATACAGAGAAAAGCAAAGAAAGAACATCTTAACAACTTTAGGACGGTTCTTCTAATTTTCCTCACTTCTTTGCCCTCAAGCTAATTAAGTGCTTTCCTTCATTAATTTGGTTTAAACGGGACATTATTTTTCCAAAAAAAGCAAAGTCACAGATGCTCCTAAGAATATTTGTCCTTCAAGAGATCCCACACCTGTGGATCACAAAATTAAAGCGTGAGTTCAGAAGAGTAAAGACCAATGACAAAGGTCTTACGGTTGGCCCAGGCACATAGCAGGGTGCAGCCAACCAACCAGGGCTCTTACTTGTGCTGGGCCTCCTGGGAGGGGATAAACTCCATGCAGGCTTATCACTTAGGGCTGCCTCGGGCTCTCCGGCCTGACCTGGAACCACAGAGGTGAGGGGGGCCGCTCTGGCTAGAGAGGCCCCTGGAATTTCCTAAACTTGCCTCTAAAGGATTTCCCAGCACTCCCTATTCTCCTTCCAGAGTTTCCCGAAATTTAGGAGAGAGAGGCAGAAAACAAGTACAAAAGGAGAGAGGCCCAGAGACAGAGAGGGAGGGAACGTGTCCCAAGTCCCACACACGGCATCCTCAAGCATGAGAGAATAAAATACTTCATCATAAAAAAGAGAGCAATAAGCAAGAGGAGGAGGAACAGAGACGAAGCCATTGATTCGGCATTAAGACCATGTGCTGAGGCCGCCCAGACACCTCGGTGAAGTTCGTGGAGGAAACGTGCTAACCAGTCACAGAGAACACTCCTCCCCGGCACGCAGCTCTCACATTCGCGTAGCCCCCACTTGCCCCCAGGTGACGGCTTCATTGCACAATCCTGGATTACTGGGGACACAGGACGGGTGTGTGTGGGAGGGGACTAACTCTAAGCAAGTGCCCCACTAACACGCACTGCATTAATGACACCTGCTTTCTATCGGTCCTAAAATAAGGAACCTAAAGACCTCCGAGACCACATTTTCTTTTATAGTTACATATTGTACGTAATTCAAACTGTATAATTTAAACAGGGAAAAACAGTATTTTAGTTGATAAGAAAATCAAACGTGCTTTGAATGCTGTGTAATTTGAACCAGTCTCTTGAGCTCGAGTGAATTAAAATGGTACTTGATATAGAAGTTTTGAGAAAATCGCCTTTTGAAAATAAATTAAATACACGCATACATTTGTCAAGGCTAAAAACGCTGGTCCAGAAGAAACAGCCCGGTCTACCCACGTGGTCTTACCTTCAGTCTTGAGCAGACGCTTTTCTTCTTCCTTCAGCTTGTTCTGCATCAGACGCAGAGTGTTCTCAGCTTCCTATGGAACAGCAAGAACAAGATTCAGAAGAGATCACCCTTTGGGGGACTGTTTTATCATTCTCTACCACGTGAATAAGCAGGGCTGAGTCTGTGACGCAAAAGCAGCAAAGATGTAAAGCACGTGGAGACAGCGAACGCTGCCTGAGAACCAGGGCCGTGGTCCCAAGGCCTCCTCTCTCCAGGATCAGCCAGCAGCCCAGCCAGGGGAGGCCGCCTGAAGTGGCACCGTGGGCCCTCGAAGCCCTGAAAAAAACCGAACCAGACAGGGAAATGCCCGTGTGTCCGTGTGGGACGTCGACACGGGGCAGACGCATCGAGAATGGGATAGTACGGGCCTCCCGCTCTCAGAAAATAAAGCATGAATTTTATTGTTTTTCTGCTCTGTGCTATTCCAGCCCCAGAAGATGCTAAATGGTGAAACAGATCTGGGTGAAAAGAGAAAAGAAATAAAAACTAGTCTAATTCCTAGGGGGACAAAAGCTAATACCTCAGCTAGGTGACAAAATGTGGCCCTGATTACGGTCAAAAGAGAGAACGGGGGAGGACAGTGGCTTTTAAAACTTTGGTGTCATTCTACACATCAAGAAACAAGCACTGTTTGAGGCACGAGCTACCTTCAGGGCGCAGGTGTTATGAACACACGGAGCAGGTGTGAGCAGAGGAAGGCATGCTCGTCCCCGGGCCACGTCTTCGGCACGACGTCCACACCTGGGGGCGGCCCCGCGTGACACCACAGAATGTTTATTTTACTTTCACGGCCCTTTTCTGCTCTTCCCCAGACACTGTCCTCACCACGGGCCTGTCCTGCACCCTTGCTGCTCCGTGGCCTGCCCCTGCCATACAGCAGTGGTGGCAACCGGCTCCGTGTCAAGATAAAGGTGTCCCCAGGAAAGCATCAGCCACCCCCCGCCGGCTGTCCTGTACAACCAAACAGCTCCACCTCATTCAAACACCCAGCTTTTAAGAAGGTGGCATAACCTTAACGCCGAAAGCTGCCAAGGACGGCGTGAGAGAGGGAGGTTACAGACCAGTTTCAGCATGAACACGGATTCCAAGGGACCATTCTTGGGTTAAGCAGAAATATCCCCAAGGGATAGTAGCAATTCAAAACACGAGAGTAACTTGGTCCATTTCTCCTTTGTTCTGAAATCCGTATTTACCAGCTCATGCTGGGACCTGAAACACTCTTTCCTAAATGGCCTGGAACAATGGGATGAGAGGAACCCGGACGACCGCTTGCTCTGGGTCACACACACTTCCCACAATAATCAATAAACTGCGTTTCCTCTTTATAAAGCAGTATCTGATAAACTTCAGGGCCTAAAGCAGGGCCTGAAAATTAAGCAGGGCCTGAAAATCTTTCAGTGACCTGACTGAGCAAATTTTTAGAAATCTACCCAAGGCCAGTCACCTACTCCACGGAACTCAGTGCAAATTAAAATGCACTTAAGAATTATTAAGAATTCAGGGGCGCCTGGGTGGCTCAGTCGGTTGGGCGTCCGACTTCGGCTCAGGTCACGATCTCATGGTTTGTGAGTCCGAGCCCCGCGTTGGGCTCTGTGCTGACAGCTCAGAGCCTGGAGCCTCATTTGAATTCTGTGTCTCCTCCTCTCTCTGACCCTCCCATGCTCATGCTCCGTCTCTCTCAAAAATAAACATTAAAAATAAATAAATAAATAAATAATTATTAAGAATTCCAAACCAGTGACGGCACAGCATTAAAGCAAGCACAGGCCCTCCTAAGCTAAGTCTTGTGCGATTGCGCACGTCACGTGGCAACCCTGTCTGCCACCCTAATGGACCAAACCCATCAGAGATCCGACCAGCCTGGAGTCCAGACCACACCACCAGCAAAAGAGAAGAGCTGCGTGAGTGATCCGGAGACTTGATCAGGGAGAAGGAACATCCAGGGAATGTTCCCCCACGATGACATTTACAAACTGACATGTCACCAAGTACAGAATCCCACGCCAGAAGGAACGGTCTGTAGAGAGGAGCGGGCTAAGCGCTCACCTCAAACCTCTCTTGCTCCATCCTATGATGGTCTTCAAGCTGCTGTTCCAGATAAGCCAGATTTCGAAATTTCTCCAGATAAATGTCATACTGCTTCTGCAACTCCTCCTCGATCTTCTCATATTCATCCATAAAGGCCGGCCTACAACAACCAAGTGAAATAAAAAGTGAAAGATTCATCAACATACAGTTGAGATTAGTATGCTGAGCCCCAGGCCCCACCATGGTCTGCTGTGGAAAGCCTTCATGGAGAAGTGTCTTCATCTGGAAGCTGCTTAAAGCTCATTTCCCTTTCCTCCTCCCTCCCCTCAAAAGCAACACGTTTAGTTTGTTTGTTGATCAAAATGTCTTTGTAAAAACTTGAAAATAATCTTTAAAGTATGAAGAATAAGGTAAAGATTACTCATCATCCTATCACCAGGTACAAGCACTGAATATTTGATAAACATCCTTCCAGACTTTTCTGTGCATAGATATACATACAGAGAGAGAAATATATTTTTTCTTTGTTTTGCGAGAGAAAGACAGAAAGGTGGGAGAGGGGCAGCCAGCAGGCTCCATGCTCAGCGCAGAGCCTGAGACGGGGCTCATTCCCACAACCCTGGGATCATGACCTGAGCAGAAATCAAGAGTCGGACACTTAACCAACTAAGCCACTCAGGCGTCGCAGAAATGCATTTTTATTTTTTATGTATTTTAAAAAAATTTTTTTAATGTTTATTTATTTTTGAGAGAGAGAGAGAGAGAGAGACAGACAGAGCATGAGCAGGGGAGGGGCAGAGAGAAAGGGAGAGAGAATCTGAAACAGGCTCCAGGCTCTAAGCTGTCAGCACAGACCCTGATGCGGGGCTCAAACTCACGAGCCGTGAGATCATGACCTGAGCCGAAGTCAGACGCTCAACCAACTGAGCCACCCAGGTGCCCCAGGAATGCATTTTTAAACACCTTTAAGTACATTACCTTAAATGAAGCTTTGCAATCTTTTTTCTTACTCACTCTGCCATAGATTTTAATACAGACTTAAAAAGTAATCACGTGTCATACACTTCTCACAAAATTAGTAACCTAAATATATACATTATCTTAGTTGAGCACAGTATTTCGCTGTCTGGATGCTCCAAAAAGTATTCCATCCCCTAAAAAAGGGAAACATAGGTTGCTACAAATTAAAGCTAAGTTTTTAAACAATATAAAATCTAAAAGCAAAGCAATAACACAAAAGCTTGTTTTGACTGATTTGCTGAGTTTATGTTTTTTTCTCTTATTTTTGATCTTAAAGGGAAACTCTCTTGTTTTAAAAATATACAGATAGGGGTGCCTGGGTAGCTCAGTCAGTTAAGCTTTCGACTTCAGCTCAGGTCATGATCTCGTGGCTCATGAGTTCAAGCCCCGCATCAGGATCCTTGCTGGCAGTGTGGAGCCTGCTTTGGATCCTGGTTCTCTCCTCTCTCTCTGCCCCTGACCTGCTCACACTCTCTCTCAAAAAACAAAACAAAAACATAAATTAAAAAGTAAGAGATTATCTTTGGGACTAGAGCAAAAACAAACTTTTCTATTAAAAGGATATGAGAAATCTAACCAAAGAGGTGAAAAATCTATACATTGAAAACTATCCAAAGCTTATGAAAGAAATTGAAGAAGACACACACAAAAAAAGGAAAAAGATTCCATGCTCCTGGATAGGAAGAACAAATATTGTTAAAATGTCAATAGTATCCAAAAGCAATCTACATATTCAACGCAATCCCTATCAAAATACCACCAGCAGTCTTCACAGAGCTAGAACAAAAAATCCTAAAATATGTATGGAACCAGAAAAGACCCCAAATAGCCAAATCTTTCTTGAAAAAGAAAACCAAAGCAGGACACAATCCCGGACTTCAAACTGTATAACAAAGCTGTCATCATCAAGACAGTATGGTACTGGCACAAGAACAAACACTCAGATCAATGGAACAGAACAGAGAACCCAGAAATGGGTCCACAAACATATGGCCAACTAATCTTTGACAAAGCGGGAAAGAATATCCAATGGAACAGACAGTCTCTTCAGCAAGTGGTGCTGGGAAAACTGGACAGTGACATACAGAAGAATGAACCTGGACCACTTTCTTACACCAGACACAAAAATAACCTCAAAATGGATGAAAGACCTAAATGTAAGACAGGAAGCCACCAAAATCCTCGAGGAGAAAGCAGGTAAAAACCTCTTTGACCTTGGCTGTAGCAACTTCTCACTCAACATGTGTCCAGAGGCAAGGGAAACAGAAGCAAAAATAAACTACTGGGACCTCATCAAAATAAAAAGCTTCTGCACAGTGAAGGAAACAATCAGCAAAACTAAAAGGCAACCGACAGAATGGGAGAAGTTATTTGCAAACGCTATATCAGATGAAGGGTTATATGCAAAATCTATAAAGAACTTATCAAACTCAGCACCCAAAAAACAAATAATCCAGTGAAGAAATGGGCAAAAGACATGAACAGACACTTCTCCAAAGAAGACATCCAGCTGGCCAACCG